TGAACAGTCGAATAATAAAGGGCTAAAAGCCTAACAATAATCATATGAATGGAAAATTTACAGATATTGCAGTTTACGATACTGATAAAGCTTAGTCTTCTGGAAATGTTCTAACTGTGTTATGAATATCATAGATGAAGACTTGAAAAATATCCCTACATTGAGTCTTAGTAGTGTTTATCTTGTTCTCTGTTTAAGAGGCATAGCAGTGGGTTTTTCTGTGGCTACATGATGTTTCTCTGTGTTTCCTGCAGGTGGAGGTTGGTTCAGTGAGTTCTTATGACCTCGGTGAACTGACGTCTTTGACAGAGTACTCAGTGGCAATTTTTGCCCTGTACAACGAGGGCGAATCAGAACCGCTCACCGATGCATTCACCACCAGTAAGAAACTGGCGTTTGACTTTTGCGAGTCGCCGTCACCAGTGGAGAACAAATTTTTGTTTTCTGTATTCTTGTTTCCCAACATCTCTGTTGAGGACAATTTAGCCTCAATCTCCAGAAAATAGTTCTATCAATATCATTAAAAGGCAAACCATTTCTCTTATAGTGCCAAACAGTGGTGAATTTTATTACCCTCAGTGGTCCTTTTGCTATTTTGGCGGCCTGCCCATCACATTTACACCTCAGCATAATAGCCCAGTCACATTAAAAGGTCATTTCACTGTCCCAGACTATTCCGTCACGCTAACAGATATTGATTTGTTGGAATATCCCTTTGCAACAAGCAGTTGGGCTCCAGCGCTGAGTCAGCTCACAGAAATGCGTCTGGCAAGCAACTATTAAACTATCCACTTTAAAAGGACTGTTTGCATTTTTTATTTATCTCCTGGCAAAGTTTGTTTAATGGACCAGTTTTCAGAAAGGGGGCTTTATGAACTAACGAAAATGCAACGGCACTTTTCAGCTCTTTGAGTGGGAAGCGGTAGGTTCACACCAAAACGGTGCGACGGTGCTTTTCTGAGAACATTTTGCTGAACTGACAGTTATGTTATAAATTGGCCCAGCAAAAAAAGTTTCATAAACTTACAGTATAATCGGGGCAGAATTGAAAATGTTATTGAATTTATGTGAATATTAACACATGAGAAAAAAGGAGGGGGAAAAGAGTCTCAGCTTTTCTGTCTTTCAGCTCCAGTTCCTGGTCCTCTGAATCTACACTCCAGTGAGGTCCGCACGGACAGCTTTAAGGTCAGCTGGGATCACTCAGCCAGTGACATTAATCTCTACCGACTCTCCTGGACACCATTCGATGGTGGCAACACAAAAGAGGTTAGTTCCACTAAAATACAGAAGGTACAGCACTGTGCAAAAGTCTTGAGCCATCCTCCTTTTTCTATATTTTGCTAGGAAAATGATCAGTAGGTTCAGCAATGTATTGAAGCGTGCAAACATACATAAAATTACAGTATAAAAAGACTGCTTGTACAGTTGTAGTGCACTGGTATTTCATTCAAAGCTCTTCTTTGAATGTTGGCTGCCTTTTGCGCCATTCTCTGTCAACGTGATCCCACACTGCTTCAGTAATGTTGACGTCCAGGCTCTGGGGAGACCAATCCATGACAGATAGTACTCCACTGTCGGCTTTTCTGTATAAGTATACAGTAGCATTTTACAATAATGTCACACTATTAAGAAATATTAAGGTATTAGTAAGCGCTTAATTCATTATTTATGCCGCATTGCCATTTCTAAATACAGATATATTATTAATACTATGATTATTATGCGTTACTAGCGGTGCATGCTACACCATGCACAGCAGTATACTAAGGAAGAATGATGATAAATAAAATATGAATTAAACACTTGCTAAAACTTTACTAATACCTTACTAATGCTTAAAAGTATGACATTAGTATATTTTTACTGCTCTGGAAGTGTGTTTGGGATCATGGTCATGTGGAAAAATGAAGCCTTTGCCAGTCAGTGTTTCCAGATGGCTTTGGCTGGTGAATCAAAATCTGACTGTACTTTTCTGCGCTCATAATTGCATCACTGGCTAAAATTCAGCTCCCAAAGCATTACACAGTCTCCACTTGTTTGTAGTTGCAGATGCACGTACCTCTCTCCTGACCTTGGCATGTTGATGACAATATGAACAAAAAATTTCAGACCTGTTGCTTCTCATTTTCATCCCAGTTCTTTATCCCAGTTCTGGCCCTTCAGGTCAGCTGAAGTGGCAGAGGCATCTCTCAGGTCCTGTGTCAGATGAATTTTCTCCTATTTGTTAAATGCAGGACTTTCAGATACTCTTCATCAGCCTACCACGTCTTCTTTTGCCACTTTTTCAGTTTCCTAAATATCTTGGGACTGCACGCCATCCCAAGATATTTTATCCCAGGTTTTGTACTAATAGCTCTTTGGGAATCTTTAAAAATGTATAAGAAA